TTTTTCTTTCAAAGAAATGGCCCATACCTTTGTGCCCCTTGGGATTCCAACTTTAGGAGACTCTAGGGTTGCAGACACCAGCACCTATGCACAGGCTCAGATTTAAACATGTGGGTAGGAACAAAAAGAATTGCACTGTGCGGGTGCTGCCCGGCCCCCCAGTCCTCACAGAAGGCTCTACCCAGGCTGTGGAATCCAGCCCCCCACCACGGGGAGGGGACACTGACTCTGTGAAACCCAACACCCTCCCCCACCCCAGAATGCTAACTGGATGAAAAGGCCTAGCTGCTGGCGAGTCGGCCTGAGTTGTTACAGACTGACCCTGGGGACATCAGGAGCACATCAGAGTGGACACGGCGCACGGTGCCAAAATGTCACGGTCTCTGGCCGCCCCGGGGCAGTCCCCAAGTGGAGGCTGCCAATTTCACCCAGAACCCGCCTGTGGCTGCCCCGCCAGGCGGGGTGAAGCCCCCGCTTTCTCAGTCGGAGCATCTCCTCCAGCTTCCTCTAAACTGGACACCTTTTAAACAGGACAGGAGCAGGCAGACCTGCCCTCATGTCCACTGCCCACTCGCGGGAGGATAGGAAGGGCACAGCCTGTCACCCAGACCCAAACCAGGCTTACAGTCACCATCCTCACAATCCCCTCTCTTTTCAGATTTTCTTGGTTCTGGAAGCTTTTAACTCACAAAGTGTGGTCACTGCCAATGCCCAGGTGAAGCCCAAGTTGCCAGTGAACGACCCTCCCTGGTGAACAGGAAGGCCCGGAGAGAGACGCCCAGCCTCCGCGGAGGGAGGGCTTCTGTGATGTTGGGCCAAGGTTTATGTTTTCCCGCAGGGTTACGCTTAGGAGGGGCTGGACCCTGCGCGGAAAAGCCAAGTGACTCGGTAACGGCATGTCCTGGCTTGGTGCCCCCAGAGGTGGATGCCCGCGAGACCACCACCTGCTGACACGGGACCCCGACACCTCACACGCCCCTGGGGCTGTTCATCCTCCCTTCCCACGCCACTGAAGACAGGAGTGCAGGGAAAGGCAGAAGGAGAAAGCTCTGAAGCTCAGCCCACCTTTGTTTTTCAAAACAGCGCAAGGAAAACTCCAGGGCAATTTTCTTCCCCCAGTGCCTGGATAATCTGCTTCCCCAGGAAGGCTGGGCCATCCAGGCCCCACCCCGGGCCCCTAGGGGGAATTTCCCGCACCTGGAAAACTGCAGGGAAGCCTGGGCGTCCGGTTTCTCACTGGGGGAGGCACACCAACACCCCAGCTGCCCCCTCCGCGCCCCAGCTAGGACGGAGGTGCCAGCTTCCAAGAAGCCACCTTCACCTGGCCTTGCTGCACACGGAGCAGACCCTGCTCTCCGTCTCCCGGGAGAGCTGGCCAGTGACCACAGAGGTCGCCTCAGGCCCTGTTCTGAAGCAGGCGAGTGTCACAAATAAGGTACATAAAAGGCCCTCTCTGTTCGGGAGCTAACAGACACATTCAGCCCCACATCCCAAGGGTCACAGATCCTCAAGTTAAAGAACATGTGTGTGCCCTGCACTCCAGTTTCAGACACCCCAAATCATGGTTTTTCAGGCTGCCTGTCTGATTCTTCTAGCGCGGACATCTCCTTTCCCCCGTCTCTTCTTTCATCACTGCATTTCCTTGGCATCTCCAGAGCCCTTCCAGGGTCTTGTCCTCATGGTCATTCATTTCCTAGAAAGTTCTACAGCTGTCGAGGAAGGGGGGCAGCAGAATAAGGTGCAGAACCCCGAGCAGGCCAGAACAAAGGCCGCTCCACAGCCCAAGGGCCTGGTAAAAACTCACAATGGCTGCTACTGGGGAGCTTGCAGCCATGTTCTAAAAAGCTAGAAGCTTCCGCTCCTTGTTCTTTAAGAAAAAGGGGCTGGGGAGACACTGCTGAGACTCCGGCCTGGAGCCGCCCAGGGAGGAAGCTGCTGTGTGTATCCACCATCGGGTGGGGCGAGGTCTGTGTCCCCCGGCCAAGGTCAGGGCTGCCGGCCATGTCGGGTAGCTGCCCCCAGACAGCTCTGGATGCCAGACTTCCCTCCAGATGGCAAGTCTGGCTGCAGGCGCAGACCTTCCTGGCCTCTGAGAGTTTCCAGGGTTTGTAAGCCTCTCAGCCCTCCCAGCACCCCCGCCCCCGATAGCTCTCTTCCCCGTCCCCAACATTTTAATAAAATGTTCATTTCCATATTACCACTTCGTGGGTATCTGGCTCCACGGAGCCTTGAGCGCTAGGCCTGCTTGCTGGTAGGACAGAACACTGTGAGAACGTCTTTGAAGAGTGACTCGGAACAGTTTTCTATCTGAAACTTGCTAAATAGTCTACACTGGCGGGAGACCCCGGGAGAGGGGGCTTGGGCGGGGGACCTTGGGTGGCCTCAAGGTCACCTGCCCAGGTGAGCTGGAGGCTGCGGGAGGGGCAGCTCTGCCAGCTGCCCAGCCAGCCCCCCACCCCCACCCCCACACTGCCTCATGCCAGGCGTCAGCCAGGCCTCCAGACCTGGGAACACCAGCTGCTTCTGCACCTCTGGCTCCGCCCAGCGATTCAGCCCCGGGCAGTCTCTGTGCTTCTTCCCAGGCATTTCTAGTGTCCATTGGCAGAAACCCCTCGCCTTCTTTTCTGTCCTCCTGACCCTACAGGGATCCCTTATGCGCTTCTCAAATTTGAAACCCTCCCTGCGACTGCCCATGGGTGCCCCAGCTGGCTTCCCCAGCAGTGAGGCTGCCACCCCCCAGCCTCAGCTGCCTCACCCGTGGAGTGGGAACGTCGACCTGACTCCGAAGGGTGGGCGGGGGGGCGCTGACACCCTGTACAAATGGCTGATCCCATCAGCTATCTGGGGTTCGGTATGTTTCATCTTATCGCCCACCCCCACCCAGGGACGTCTTCCTGTGCGACTCTGCAGGACCAAAGCTCTGGAGGGATTTTGATGCAGCCACCTGGGTGCAGGGTGAGGCAGAGACGTGCCAGCGTTGAGGGCATGTCTCTCTTTACTGTGGCATTTGGCCCGTAACCGGTCTCCTGTAAAGAAAAGCCACTTCCCCTCTGCTCTGAGATCTTGTTTTTAGTGAGTCCTGAAGTAATTGTTCCTCCTCTTTATGCTGGTCTCTAATACCAATGACAGCAGTAGGAAGTTCAGTGAAAAACCGTGCCTGGGACTCAGCATTCCCAACGGACAGGTCCTTAAAGCAGAGCAAGGCTCGCCAGGGCTGGTCCTGAGGCCGGGTCCTAGCAGGTGGGTGGACAGCCCGCCTTGGGACGAGGGATGCAGAAACACAGACCCCCAGCTCAGGCAGGGCCGGGGCCATGCCATAGGGCGTGGCCTCCTCTGAACCACAAGTAAAGTCCAGAAAGCTGGGTCTGGCCTTCAAGGGTGTGCTACGGTTTGCTCGGTGCTTCCCGGCAACCCCATGTGCATTCGCTCATCTCCTTGGTACCTGGCTGCATCCCCGCTGGCACATGAGCAAACTGAAGCCACAGAGCAGAGTCCCCAGCCGGCGACAGGCCGGCGTGCCCTCCCCATCAGCCCTGGCACAGTGCGCTGAGGGCTGTGGCCACCCTTTGCGTGTGTCTGGACCTGTTCACAAAGAAAACAGCCCAGAGACGCTCTCCCACCGTTCAGTGTCCTCCCCGGAAGAACTCTGGTCATCTGCCCTTGATGGACCCAACGGGGCCTCCCAGCCACACCCCGGAAGGGAGATCCCACCGCGTGAGTGAGCCAGCTGGGGCACCGTGCCACTCAGGATGGTGACAGGTCATGAGATCTCACCTGCCAG